AGTTGGAAAATCATGGTGCAGCAGTGCGCGGAAGTGCAAACTGTGTGGTGTCCAGTACCCGGCTGATGACCAGTTCAGTAGCCGCTGGTCATTTGGCAGGCGTCGGCAAAAGGCGAACTGCAAGACTGTCGATGCACGCTCGATCGATACCATCAACCAGCGCCGATCTTATCAGCAATAATAGCTCTGCTCACTCTCTTATCAGTGATCCTTTCATGCACACACCACTGCAAGCGGTACGTCCTTTTTAGAACATGTCAGATAAATTGAACCTGACTGACTTACTTACTGAAAAGGTTAGGTTGAGTAGTACTGAGTTTATGGAATCCATACCCTTACTTCCCTTTATGTTTTTTTTAAATCGCTGTCAGGCGGAATTTTTATCAAAAATCCACCGAAAAATTGCTTTGCACTTTCTTCTGCTGCATCGGGATGTAAAACCGCACTCAAGCAAAATCTGTTTTGTGTGCAGATCGAGCCACACATTTTAGCCCCGAATTTACGAAATCCAGATGAAATTTTTTAAGCTAAGTTTTCAACTCAAGATTACATGAATCCTTAATAAACTTTTTGCTTCATAATCTCATTTTGACCTCGTATTCGAATTTGAGCAAATTTTTGAACTCGAGGAACAATTGTGATATAAAAGCTTAAGTGAAGTCAGAAGTCAAAATCAAAAAAAAAAAAAAACTCACTGTACTGGCTCTAAAAACCTCTGAAAAATTTCTTGGCCGATATGCCCAAAAATCTTTAATCCGAAAAAACAAAATTCTCCTAAAGCTTATCAAGTTGAGATAGTTTTTTATCTGCGGTGCTCTTATTTTTACAGCATTTTTTTGGGCTAAATCGATTAAAAGGTCATTTTGAGTCGCTAGCCACAGTAGCGTTTGTAAAATTATGTGGCCTTTTCTGATATGGCACCTTTTAATTTGCCCTACTGCTAAGGTTACGTCTATTTTTAAAAAAACAATTTTAACGAGGCTTCTTAATAAGCCAGAAACTTGGATATACCTACTTTTGCGTTAGACTCGTTTGCTTCTGCGGATTAGCAAAGAATGCTCCGGTAAAATTATGTGGTTGTTTGAGAGCAGTGCTTTGCGAATTGCCTGATCTCCTAAAAAGTTCATTCACATGATAAACTTCATCAAATCTACTGTAGAAAAAGATGAAGAGATGGCATGAAGTGCGCCCTCGTCCCTCCCCCTTCCTGTCATCCTTGCATCCCCTATTATCCACTTCTTTTGATTGCATTTTCGCCTTTGCATCCCGCTTGCGCTTTCCATATACTGTGCATATGATGTGAATGCAGTTTTTGCTCAAATCGTTATCTTTCTTTGCTGATTTGCTACGATTTTTTTCTGTTACTTCTTCCAAATTTGATTTTTTTACTCTGGTTTCTCAGGAACCCCAGTTCCTCGAATGAATTCCCAGTCTGGCCGTTGTTTCGCATGATGAACAGTGAAGTAAATTAAAAGCGCAGAAAGTTGGTAAATTAGGGTTCTGCAGAAATTGTGCGGTAATGATGGGTTGGGGGTTCGCCCACCACATTCTTCTGTCTGTTTAGTCTTAATTTGTTGATGCATTACCCCTGTCATTCAACTCATTTACTGCCACTGCTCGGAGTTCGGAGCACCCTCTTTCCGGTCCCGCATTC